CTACACGTGTTTGGTGTCATGTGAAAACAAAGCAGGCGCACACTTTTCTCTGTGGAAGTTGGGGTACGACGCACTTCTTGCCCCAATCAAATTGCGCCGGAACCCAACTGGGTTTTGTACTTTGCAACGAACTCAAAGAAGGTTTTGCAAGCATCGTCGGAAACACAAGTCTCACTCTCTAACAAAGGATGTGGCTCAAAGCGAGAAGGAGGATCAGCTATATTGGTTTCAGTCGGAACACGTGCGAACCAAAGGTTGGTAGGATGATGGGTTTCAAAGGACAGGAGTTCGCGCATCAAAGTCTGGCCCACGACCCCTTGCGCAGCACCCTTGATCAGAGCAAAGCGGACAGCTTCATTGTCTCCAAAGCAAACTGTGTAACTGTCAGTTACTAGGCCTTGCCAGAAACAAATCGAGAAAACTGCTGCCAACATTTCCAACTCATAAATGATGGTGTCTTTGTTTTGCGAACCAAACAGTCCACAGATGACGGTGTCAAGAAAAATTCCAAACCAGGCCACACATGTCCCGTAGGAATTGACAAGGACCGCACCCATGCCCCCAGTTTGTGCGTCTGGCTCGTAAGCCGCGTCCGTGAACAAGAAAAACTGGTCCAAGGCCTCGGAGTTCACTTCTCGGGGCTTGGCGCTCTCCAGCCTGCTTTTCATCCAACTTAGGGCGTCCACCATCGAGTCATTCATGGACGGTTGTGTCCCGTAAGCATGCTCTATCAGTCTGCTCAAGACCAAGCGGCCCAGGCGGCCATGCATGAAGCTATCTGCAAAGCCCAAGCGGCCTCGCAAAACCAAGGCCTCATGTCGGGAGAGCTTCCGGGCGCTAATCACTTGTTCCAGGTGCATGATGAGCTCCTTTCGGCGCTGCTCTGCGTTTCCAATCAAAAGTCGGCCGTCTGTGGAATGTTGAAGATTGAACTCTACCCCCAGGGCCTGACATAGCTCTGAGAACTCGGTTGCTTTCTTCCCTTCACGAGCAAATTCCCAGCCAGTCAAGAGAAAAGCCAGTTCCATCCCGTGCTGTGCAGATTTGATATTGCGGCTCCTCGAAACTAGAATGAAGTCATCATAAAAGTTGGTGTTCAGCAGAAACAATCCTCGAGCTGCAATGCTGCGCAGTGCTCGGGACAACCTCAAGAAGTTGTACACACTGTGAGTTGCACCAAAAGGAAGTGTCTGCATGCGATAGATCTCCGGCTTGTCCAGCTCATGATTGTAAATGCAAAAGTAAGCAAATCTCAGATGTTCGGTCTTGACCGGGACTTGGCGGTATGCACTTTTCAGGTCATAGGTCTTAGCCAACAAAACCGAGCAGGTGCCAAACGCTTTGCTTCTTTTGAAAAACTCTCTCACCAATGCAGCAAAAGTGTCAATCATGTGGAGGTCAATCTTGTTGTGAGTAGTTGCGCAGTCATTAATGCCACTTACCGAATAATCGTCGATCATTCGAATTTTGCTTCCCTGCCTCAGAGGGAATCTGCGCGAGATCACTGCACCAGGTTCTAGTTGCGAAGGCTCAAAAGGGACCTTGGCCCAACCCTTGTCCAGCTCAAGCCTGGTCTCCTCCAGAAGCCTTTGATCCAACTCAAGGTCACCACACGACGTGGTCATCTTCAGAATGGCTTGGTTGCGCTTGCTGGCGCCAGCAGCCAGTTGCCTCATGGTGGACATGCAAGGCTTGTACAAGGACTTGAACACTGGGCAATGCTCAATCTCACCTACCAGAGAGCTCCCTTGGCGAAGCAAGTCGACTACGGCCAAATCCTCATAACCAATGTCTTTTAAGATTTCTGCAGTCAACAAGAGCCTCTTGGACGAGGTATTCTGCCGGATGTGCAAGGGCCTCTGAGCCCAATCCTGCTTCTCCTCATTGTCCAAATCTGACGCACGCTTCAACCATCTCCTGCACCACCGCATGCGGTGATCCGCCAGCTGCTGTTCAGTCATATTTAGTTGGTTCTCCAAAGCGACTTCAAGGTCTTTGGAGAGACTGAAGTCTTGAAGCACTGGGTGTCCTGTCAAACACGCTTGCTTAATGAATCGCTCACAGCTCCAAGGCAGTCCAAAGACTACTCCAAACCCTGTTTCATCGGCGTCTCTTTGCCTTTTGCCAGAAGATGTGGGATTTTCGAGACTCATCGTCCCCTGCCCATCCCCCTTGGTCACCGGGGACGTGAGGGGATAGGAACGCAAAAAACGTGCAGCAGCCGGAATTTCGGCCGGTTGGCCGTCTAGAGTGAGGACATGCTGGAGCCAATTTGCAGGCGGCATATCCTGAGCTTCGCCAAGTCCAGCTAGACACCCCTGAAGGACTGTTTCAATTCCATCAGGCCAATACGGCCGAAGAGCGCTCAGGGTTAGCAGGGATACACCAATGGAGTATCATGCTCCCGACTAGCGCAAGGGTAGCTCAAGAGGTTTACGAGCCCCTAATTGGGATCCACTATCCAATGCTCTGCAACGTGCAAAATCACAGCTGGCAAATTGGCACTGGATCTATTCGTGCAGAGGAACGGCTGGCTACAGGTTTTCGCTTTGTCAACTGGGTCCATGATGTCTCGAATCCAGAGACAAGAGCGGTTCCGCCGCCGGACGCAACAAACGCCGCCTATCGGCAGATAGAA